AGAGGAGATGCTTTGTGTGCTCTGAATGGTACTTGGTGCTTATCACTTACAAAATTCAACATAACTATTCAACATTATTTTGAGATCTAGAGATGTTAAAATATTTCAAATTTGCAATTATTAAAAAGAGCTTTAACACTTTAACAACTATTTTCTACAGAATCATTGTACTATTTGCAAATAAGGACAGAACATGATCTGTACCCAAGAAACCCATGGATTCTCTTACACCAGGACCGGAGAAGCCTTCCGTCTCACGTCCCTGAGCAGCCAGGTTCTAGAGTCACGCCTCCTAGTTACAGTGTTTTGCCAGTGATTCTCCAGTATTAAAAAATATAAAACCTTCTGTCGATTTTCATGATTTTATCTATTAAACATAGCTTTCAAGAGAGGTTTTGTACTACCTTTGGCTCAGAAGACTTGACAGTATGTAGAATCTGTATGATTGTGCGGTTTAACTGCTATGTTGATGTTAGCTATTAGGATGCAAGAGGAAACGTTGGTGACATTAGGTTCCACCACCACATAGCCAGTGCTGTTGAAGCTCATAGAGACCGTATAGCACACAGTCAAACTGCTCCATCGCGTTTCCAGGACTGGCAATCTTGACAAGAGTATGTTGAGGGGTGGGACTGCCGGGAGAATTCCATGTGGACACAGCAGGGGTGGACAAGATGTAGGAAGCAATATGAAAGTATATGTGAGAGAGACACTTAGGAGTAGATGGGGTTATAAGAACAGTAGATAAGAGAGGAAAGGGTTTTTAACCTCATCTACTCCTTTGGAGCAGCTAGTGGGCTCAACCCACCAACCGTGCAGCCTCTTAGTTCAATACTTAATTCACTGCACCACGAGGACTCTTTAACAGTAAGCTAAGAAGTAGCATGGCTTAGCCTACTAATTATAGAGCCATACTTCCTTGGTTCAAAGTCTAGTGCTACCACTTCTAGTTATATAATCCAACAATTATATAATCAATTAATGAAAGGTCTCAGCTTTAGTCTTGTTTTCTAATAGTTATTGTAAGGATTAAAATAGATAATATATATAACCAAATTCACTGCCATGAAGTCCATTCCGACTCATGATGACTGTATGGGTCAGGGTAGAACTTCCCCTAGGGATTTCTCAAATGAACTTTACAGGAGCAGAAAGCCTCCTCTTTCTCTCATGAAGCAACTTGTGGTTTTGAACTGCTACAATTGTGGTTAGCAGCTCAACTTGAAAACACTATGGCACTGGGGCTCTGGTAATAGATATATTTATAATATACATGAGTTAAATAGATATAAAAAGCATGCAGCTCTGTGATAATAATGATATTTGGTGTGTTCATTATGTGCCAGGCACTATTTCATTGTTATATATGTTATATGTGTGATTGCATTTATAACAATTAAATAGTGCCTGGCACATAATAAACATACCAAATATTATGCTTATTGTTATTATTATCATCACAAAGCTATATGCTACAGGATATCAAGAATTCATAAAAATGAGACACTGAAAGACCTCCAATTTCCATTGTTAACCTGATTCCTACATTATAAAACCTAATTTTGAATAACTAGTGCACTACCCAAGGAGCTTTGGTAGCATAGTAGGTTACACATTGGACTGCTAACCTCAGGTTAGCAGTTCAAACCCACCAGCCACACCATGAAGGAAAGACGATGCTTTATGCTCTTGGAAAAAGTTATATTCTTGGAAACCCGCAGAGGCAACTCTTTCTTTTCCTATAGGGTCGTTATGAGCCACAATGAACTGAGGGAAAGCGGATTTGCTTTGGGCTTGAGTGCTCTGGACAAGGCTTTGATCATATGAGGTGATGAAAAAATAGTCTCTGTCTTCTTTCCATTCATTTGGGAAAATGATGCCTAGTGCAACTGTGGTCCTGGCATGGTGAACAAAAGAATGGCATGCTCCTGGGCAGCTTCTCCGGCACTCACCCACACAATTGAAGCCTTCCTCCATTCTGCACATCCTCGAGCACCCATCTCCACTCAGAAGATCCCCATCGTCACACTCTTCTCCCAAACTCCTAGGAAGCAAAACAGCATGATGAAATCCATATATATAGATAGTTAATAAATAAATTTGTTCCTATGTTCCATAATTTACATTTCAAAAACATTCAAGCATGCCCATTTCATAGTACAATGTGCAAGCTACATGGAAAGAGGAGTTGAGAGAATATCTTTTTCAAAAAGTGAACACACAGGCATTTGAAGTTGATGAGCTTGAGCAATGCTTGTCAGTTGGAGTGTCTGGTCGGCTATGGGGATGCCTAGATGTCAAGTGCGCATAGCTCAGAGACGTGGAGAGTCATGTGGATCCGGATAGTGTTTCTGGAGGAAGACCTTGAGCTTGGGAAAGGCCTGCTCATGGTGCTGCTGCCACTTGAGTCAAGTTGATTCTGCTTCAGATGACCCGTGTCTGCAGAGGACTGATCCATAGGCTTTTCAGAAGCAGATCGCTAAGCCTATCTTCTGAGCTGCCTTTGACTGGGACTCAAACCGCCATCCTTACAACTAGTACTCAGACACAGAACCATTAGTCTTACATGAAGAATCTGGAGAACTGGCTTGGACTCTCAAGAAGTTGTCCACTGAATGGGTGAGGATTTTACGGTCAGCTCAGTTTTATCTGATATTGATGTTTGAATTGCTTGATACCCTCAAAATTGAGTTGCTGTAAACATTATAATTTTGTAGAATTGAAATTTCCTATTTACATGCCAAGAGGCTTGAGTAGCCAGATTGCTGCCATCCCTGAATCCATAGCAACCCTAGAGGCAGGTCCCTGTGCTTACTCTCTACCACCAGCTCCCAGTGGCAGCTGAAACATATTGCAGGAGAAGACAGATATGGGAAAGAAATGACTTTGGAACTTCAAATGCTCGTATAGCTGATGACTGAACCTTAATCCAGCTAAAGGAGATGGTTTGGCATGAAGGGCCCACAAAGCATATTAAACTCACTGCCATAGAGTCCATGCTAGCTCATAGCGATCCCATAGGACAGACTGTAACTTTTTATGAGAAGAGAAAGCACTGCCTCCCCACCCCTCCCCCCACTCCCGACACCCACCACCCCTCCACCGCACTGTGATGCTGCTGGTGGTTCTGAACTGCTGACCTTGCTGTTAGCAGCCCCGCTTGTAACCACTATGCACCAGAGCTCCTAGGAAGCATATTAGGGAAATCAAATAGATTACCTTGGGCTAGCCCCTTGGAGAGAAGCAAGATTTGCTATTGTAAAATGGATCCAGAAGGACCATTTTTCCTTCTTGACTTTTCACCAATTCCCAAAATTGACATAGATTTTGTCCCAGCAGATAAAAGGTTTTGGAATGCTAAAGTGTTCTCAGGCCTACAGCATCACTTGTAGCTCTAGCATCATTTAAAGGGATGGAGTAAAGAGTAAACGATTAGATATAAAAATGAACTGAAAGTATATTAAAATGCAGTTATCTAATAATCATATTTTCAATGAAAATCTGGACATGAAAAAGGGATTAAAGAGTTATGAAAAACAACATAATAATAAAAAAAGAAAAAAAACAACATAATCAAAGAAATTAAGGAAAGGTAAAGTTATCTTCATATGCCAAGATAATTTGGTACAATGGAGGGAGACCTGGTCATAAACTCTCCAGACGTACGTTTTTTTCATCTATGGGAAAAGAGAGTTAACTCAGATCAGTATTTCTCTAAAGGGGGTCCAGAATGTGTTTTTGGAGGTTGGAGACTTTGTATTTTCCTTTTGGAGATCATCTAAAGAATTAATATAGACATATTGTATATTATTTCATGCAACACTGTTCAACAGAAATATGAGTCATGTAAATAATTTAAGTTTCTAATCGTCACATAAGAAAGTTACAAAAATGACATTAATTTTAATGATATATTTCCTTTAACTCAATCTACCTAAAATATTATGTCAATATGTAATTGCTAGGAAAATATTAATGAAATATTTTGCCTTACTTTTTCATACTAATTCTTGAAAATCTGGTGTGTGCTTTTCATTTATAAGATATCTCAGTTCAAATACTTGGAAAAGTAAATTTACATACCTATGGTGTTCCAAATATGTTGTTCTTTAATGTTCTCCAGTAGCTGAATCAAATTTAAATCAATTCAATAAAACGAAGCATTCAGCTTCTTATGTATCCTTGATTTCAATTCACAGTGACACTGCAGAAAGGTCTCGAAGGCTTTCCCAAGCTGTGGTTTCCGCAGGAGCAGATGACCAGCCCTTCCCCAAGGAGCCACTGAGTGGACTCCAACTGCCAACGGCTGCTAACAGCGGACTCCACCGCCAGCACACCTTCAATGCGGCTGGGAGCTCCACCTGAGGGTCTTCAATTACGTTTGTTCTCCTTTTCTTATTGAAAAATGATATCCAAACTGAAAGTTTTCATTTTTTTGAACTAAAAATGCTTAAAAACTAGAATCTGAAACTGACTCTTAGGGGATCTGTGACCATTTTCTCTCCAATTAGCACGAGTACAAATTTGTCAGGTTTAAGCACTGTTTTATATGATTCTTACATTTCCTTCTTTTTGGTTTAATGAGATCCTCACTAGCTAAATTAAAACTCGAATTCAGACTTGTGGCTTCCAGAGATGCTAAACTTTTCAGCTATCTATTGTCAGAAAACTCGATAGTCCCTAGAGCTTTGGGTATGGGAAACAAAACCTTGGAACGGAGGCACTAGGACATGGAGGACAAGGCTAGCTTCCCATTGGCTGGCCTTTGGGAACTAAGCTTTGCCCTTTATACAGAAGAAATCTAGGCACAGTTCAAATAGCATTTTGGTAAGGAGTTCTGTGAGATTGGCAAGCAAAGAGTGCTGCCTCAGGTAAGGCTGCACCGTGGCACAGAAGAGAATGTTCAGTATCAAGTTCACAAGAGGACCCTTTGCTTGGACCCTTCTATGGACCACCAGGCAACATTGGCATCCTGGGGGCATAGGACAGCCACCACGAACGAATGAGCTGTTATAGGAGATACTAAAATGTAAGACTGAGCATTTTGCTCAAGGAATCCTCTGCCAGGATATCAGTAGGAACGAAGCTCTCCAAACAGATGCCAAGGAAAGGAGCCAGGATAGGGAAAATAATGATAGCAATAATTGGCTGTGTTAGGAAGGAGGAAGCAGGCAGCATACACGAAAGGCTTTGAAGATTAAAATAACCTCAACTGTTGTCAACTATTGACAAGTTGGTGTTTCTGTTTCTATGAAAAGGAATAAATCGGCTTACACAACAGCTTAACGATTTTAGAGAAGTGAGAAAAACAAAACAAAACAAAAAACAACCAAACTCGTTTCATGATTTCTAGGGCTTCCTGGGTAGTGTAAATCATTCAGCACAAGACTACGGACCCAAAGGAGGGTAGTACACACACCTAGAGGAGGAGCCCAGAAGATCAGCTTGGCACTACGGCTTTTGAAAGTCACGACCCTGAAAACCCCATGGCGAGGAGCTATCTTGCACATACCGGGCAGCCAGGAGCAACTAACATTGCTAACCAAGGGATGGGATCCCAAGAAAGGTTACAGAATTGTTTGCTGTTAAGACTTTGAAATAAATAGATTTTTTGCACCTAGTCTGATAATTTAAAAAAGGGATGTGTTATTAGTGTGCAGGATCTTGGATAAGCCATAGTGCCTGTCCGTCCAGACTCCTGTTCCAGCAGCTCGATGTAAGAAAGTGTTAAGCTACAATGAGCATTTGTACCAACCCATTTTCTCAGTGTTCTTGGAAGTTCTTGAGAGGTTCAGCTAAAACTAGGGGAAGCACAGCTAAACTAAGATGAACTGCCCTCCAAGCTTGATAATACAACCTAGAACCCGAACAAGGGACATGGCATCTTAAGAAACTGGCAGGACTGGTTCTCCCTTTCCCTTGGTGGTGCCTATAGACTCGCTAGAAATGACACTTTGCTCAGATGAACACCTGGAGCTGAGAAAGCTACGCTGACTTTCCTCAAGACATACAGCTGGTGGCACAGAGGATTGAGCCATTGATTCAGCAGGTCTCCTCCCCTCTGCCTTTAGGATCACTGGACAGTAACCTTCCTTTTGTCACCAGCCAGTGGAGGATCAATGCCAATCTCTCAATATCCTGACTGAGTTCTACGTAGAAGCGGGTACCGTCTTAACTGTGAAAAAAATGTGATAATTTTGCAAGATCATGATCAGATCCCAGACTTTGAAGTTTTATGATCAACACTGGAATTGCACAGGACCCTGCCCACTATATTCCACAAACAAGCCAAACTCAAGCTTCAGTATGGAGCTCCCAGCCAAACAGCAAATGTCCTGGTTTGCAAATCCCCATGCACACACTACTCACTCTGCCACCTGCCCATCTCCACAGTAGGGCGCTCCATGGGTATGAATCAGTGGGGGTGAAGCTTCTCCCAGCTCTGCTCCTGCTTCAGCTTGAACCTGGTACCGATATGTCTGTCCAGGTGTGACCTCCCTGTAAAAACCAATGAGCTTGTTATTATCACATTCACAAAGTGATTCATGGTTTCAAGATGACTTGCAGGAGCTTAGGGGAATTTATAGGTACCATAAACATAAAATATTCATTACATTTTCTGAAAAAAATCAGGACAGATGGTCTTATGAAACAATAGATTATGTAAAATTATTTTCATTTCTGTATTCCTAGTATATGCCAGTTAGTAGCTATGTCATAAATGCTTACTGAATTAACATAATGTAACAATTCTAGATAATCCATTAAAATGCTATCCTGAAAAAAAATGCTATCCTGAATGTATGCTTACCATAAAGAGTCATAATGTAAGATTATATGTATAAGGGAGTCTTCCGTCTCCTAGAAGTCATCCAAAGACACTTTAGATGGAAGTGTCTGGGTTTGGCTTCAGGCCCTTAGGTGCATATGGGTAACAGTCACTTTTTCAATCTCTCAAGAGACAGGCTTTAAGAGGCTGAATCCTGGGAGGTAGGAGGAGCTCTCTTATAGAGGGGATAAGAACACCTTCCATCACCATTT